AAAAAAAAAAAAAAAAAAAAAAAAAACAAACAAAAAAAACACTTTTATTATATCACTTGAGTACATAGGGGAGTGTTTAAAAAGATTACAGCTACCACTCTGGTTTGAGTGTGTGTGTGTGTTTGTATGAGAGTGTGTGTGTGTGTGTGTGTGTTTACATTGCAGGAATCTTGAACGTGGAGCTATATGACAAACTATCAGCCATGAAGATTTGTATTTATTATTTACAGCACAGCACCCCTTGAAAACTTGCTTAAGACTTTCCCTGATATAACCCAGATCTGTATGTTATTTTGGGGCTCTTTAATTGAAAAATCACAAATGAGCATATCAAACTTAACTTTGTCTACTAAGAAGGTACCATACATTTCTCTTTATTTGTTTATAACTTATTTAAGTGAGAAGTGAGGATAATGCCGCTTGTTAAATTATGTAATAAATATAAACATCTTTTAACTGCTATAAATAAAAATATTTTAAGATACTAAAAATGTAGCAGAAAAAAATATTGACACTGTGTACAATTAGAAGATTAACAGCAAAACTGAGTACTGGGGGAAACTCAGACATGTAATCTAATCTGTCTAATATCAAAATTCATATATGATATAAAGTTTGAGGAGTCTCACAATTTAGGGATAGGTATTTTTGGAATCTGCTGGGCCATCTACTTGTCTTCACTGCCTCATGCATATACATATATATGTAGAGAAATAACATTTTTAACTATTCTATTTGCCATTGGAACACAATGAATCTCTATTATTTACCTCTAATCATTGTTCATGAAGGCAGATAAAGTATTAGCTATACAAATGTTATTACATTTCTTCTTGGGAAGATAATGTGTGGGAACTTGTTAGCTTTCATCAACTCCAGAAAAATGCTCACTTATTAAGGAATTGATGCTGATATGCAATGACAAGTGAATTATTACACTGTAGAGTGCTTTGCTTAGAATGCATATGACTGTGCATGTAATCACAAATTCCTCAGGTTTCTGGAGTGTTACTTGGATTATATGCAACAAACCACCAAACATTAATGGGCTCAATTCTTTTCCTTCAGCTCTTCAAGGTTGCTCTTCCTCAGTGCAAACTATTCTGTGGCCCTATGTAAAAGTAGGAAAGAAGAAAAACAAAATTCTACCCATCTAAATGAAAGTGGTAACGTTAATCTACCCCAAGGCACTACACTGTAGTATTTTATTTAATTATTTATTTTAAAATCAACAGAATGCAACAGTAAATTACATTCCCCAAATCATAA